AAAAAAAAAAAAAAAGAAAAAGAAAGAAACAAAGAAAAATAGCAGACTAAATAATTCATGGCCTATCCATGTAACAGCACTTGTGGAATAGCAAAAACATCATGTTTTCAACAATTTGGGGAAATAAACTACATGAAGAGGAAAAGTGTGGTGCACTCCTGTGATCACAGCAATTGGGAGGCTGAGGCAGGAGGACCACAAGTTCAAGGCCAGCCTGGGTTACATAGTGAGACATTGGTCATTGAAAAAAAAATTTTTTTTGGTACCAGGGATCGAACTTGGGACCTTGCACTTCCAAGGCAGGCAGTGGAATCACTGAGCTAAATCCCTGGGCCCTAAAAAATTTTTTTAATGAAGAAGAAAAAGCAAGCCAGGCCTGGTGGTGCACACCTATAAATCCCAGCACTCAAGAAACTGAGGCAGGAGATCCCTGGGAATTCCAGGCCAGCCTGGGCTACAAGGAGAGACCCTATCTTTAAAAGAAAAAAAAAAAAGAGGAATAAAAGCAAGCTACCAACAGTTTATACAGTGTATACAAAATGTATCAGCTCAAAAAACAATGTTTCAGCTCTGAAAGTACAAAGGAGTCATCAGAGGAAATAAACAGCAGAGCTTTGCCCCAGTTATCACTGGATAGTGAGGTCTCGGGTGTCTGGTATTTTTATTTTCATATTTATTCTTTTCAGGACTTGCCAATTTATTTTTCTAAGGCAACATCGTTTTTATCAATGGAGACACACAGGACCTTGAACAATGGCCAGCAAATAAGAGGCATTCCTTTTGTCACAGGACAAGTGAATTTAAAAAGCAAGGAGAGGGGCCGGGGATTTAGCTCAGTGGTGCTGGCCTGCCTGCCTCATAAGCGCAAGGTCCAGAGTTCGATCCCGGGTATCAAAAAAAAAGCAACGAGGACTGCTTCAGCCATGCCACAGGTGACACTGACCCGTGAAAAGGAGAAATAAGGGACCCAGGGTCATATAAGAGGAAGGGAACCACATAGCCCCAGCCTCGGCTCGGGCCTGGAGAATCAAGAAGTCCTGCTGAGAAATAAACTCAAGCAAGACTGCAGCTCCAATCACCTTGGCCAGGCAGAGATTCTCCTGGTGCCAAGCACTGGTGTAAACAGTGGTCCGACCCATGCCAGGGCCAAGTCTGTAAGCTCACAGGTGAGGAAGCCAGACCTAAAAGGGCACCTTTGAAACCTAGGAGCTGGAGCTGGGCATGGTGATGCATAAACCCATAAACCCAGCACTCAGGAGGCTGAAGCAGGAGGATCACTTGAGTTTGAGGCCAGCCTGAGCTGCATGGCGAGGCCTGCCTCAAAAAAAAAAAAAAAAAAAAAAAACAACAACCTAGAATCTGGCCATGAACAATTCCCAGCCTGCGCCTTCATTTCTTTGTCCAAACCACAGAACCAAGGACTCTGAGGGGGACCAAGGCCTGAATCCTAAAAAGAACTTGAGCTTTGATTTGAAGACTGTCTCAAGAGCCCTGCTTTTCTCCACGAGGCTGATTTAAAAACCCCACCCAAGAGGTTCAGAGCACAAAGCCTAACAGAGTTTGCAGACCATTGTTTTCGAGAGCCAGGAGAGCCAGGCCTGTAGCCACCTGGGCACCAACACATGTGACGAGAGGGCAGCTCACAATGCCGTGCCAGTCCCCCTGGCCTGCCAGAGATTGAAACAGAAACTAACAGAAATGATCGACCCCAGAGGCAGCACAAGGCCAGGAGCAACAAGAGTCAGTGCTCTGTGCAGGACACACCCACCCACACACGCACGCACATGCACGCACAAAAACCTGAAAGCACAATCAAATAATCCTCCAGGAAAGAACAGAGAACTGAAATTCAAAAGGGGGTGGAGAGTGACGAAGAGCCCAGCCCTAACCAAGCAAACCACAATTGCTGGGCCAAGCGCAAGGCAACCAGACCCCTGCAGGAGCCCCATCTGACCGGCCATTCCTGAAATTCCACTCTCCGGGGCTTTGGGGCTCTTTCTTCCCCGGCTTGCTTTTTCTTTTCTTTTTTTTTTTTATAAGACAGAATCTCACTCTGTAGCCCAGGCTGGCCTCAAACCCATGGTGATCCTCCTGCCTCAGCATCCCCAGTGCTGGGACCAAAGGCATGCCCCACCACACCTGGGGCCAGGACCAGGCCCTGCAGGGGCTTAGACAGGGATATGCAAACAACACTAAAAACCCACAACTAAGAGCCGAGGGTAACCCAGGTGCGTGGTGGGCAGGGCCGCCTGCCTCTGCCCCAACCCCATCCTGTCAGATACAGCCCCAAGCAGGCCAGGGACAGTAGTGAGGTCACACTGCAAGGACTGGCCAAGGGACAGCAGGGAGGGAAATGGAAGGACACTGTGGCCCCGCTAAGACACCTCAGCTCCAGCGCCAGGAGGCCTGGACAAGGAACACAGAAGTTTAAAAAGACAAACACAAAAAACAGCAGCTGGGCAGGGTGGTGCCCACCTGTAACCCCAGCACCGGGGAGGCTGAGGCAGGAGGGTCACTGACAGGTGGAGGGCAGCCTGAGCTGTGTAGTAAGTTTAAAGCCAATCTGCACAACACAGTAAGATCCTGTCTCAAAAAACAAAACAGAAACAAACCAAAAAAGCAAGATGTTTCAGAAGTGCCAAAATGAATCCAGGCAGTCATCAGGCGCAGGACCAGGGTCCATCCCAGCAGGGCCCCAGGGCCACTGACCATCAGGGAACAGGGTTGGCCCAGAGGTGAGCTGGTTCTCAGGGCCCACCTGGTCCCCAGTAAATGGTTGAAGGTGGGTGTGGCTGAGCCCCTGGCCCCTCTAAGCCAGCCCAGTGCTTCTGGGCAGCTGGGCAGCTGTAATCCCAGCACTTGGGAAGCTTAAGGCAGGAGGATCTTGGTGAGTTTGGGCTACATAGTGAGTTCAAGGCTGGCCTGGACTACATAGCAAGAGTGTCTCAAAAAAAAAAAACAAAACCAGTTTGGACCAACCAGGAGAACAGGAAAAAAGATCCAGAAATAAGAGACAGAAAGCAGCCAAAGGGGAAAGGGTACTAACACAAACAACGCTCTGTGTCAACACCTTCCTACGGTAACCCAGCTACAAACCTCAGGGGAGGCCCGCCAGAGCCCCTCACACACCCGGGGGATGTGTAATTGCTCCCACTTTACAGAACAGGGGCCTCAGGCCCCCAGGGACCCACCTGCCTGAACACGCCAGGTCCCGGAACATCGAGGCTGCGCCAACCCCCGAGGAAAGCAGGAGGTGTCAGCATGGGGCTCCCGTGCCTGCCCAGGCAGCTGTGGGCAGGGAATGGACAGGGACGACCCACATGGGCTGCAAAGCCCCTCTCCATCTGGGTACCAAGTGCCCCCCCCACACACCTGAAGCCAGCATTTGTGACACCTGGGGCTCAGTCACGCTAGCAGTGGCACCACAGGTAGCCAGCCCTCTGTCCTGGGATTTGGCATAGCTATAAAACCAGCTGTTTACCACTGAGCAATTACAAAGCTGCTAACACAGCACTTGGGAGGCTGAGGCAGGAGGACTGCCGTGAGTCCAAGGCCAGCCTGAACTATATACATAGCAAGACTCTGCCTCAAACACACACACACATACACACCAGCTGCAGGAGTAACAAGTACTGAGCACTGACTGCACACCAGGCCCTTCACTAGGCCCCCTCCATCTTCCCAATCCTACAAGGTCCCCGATCATGCAGATACACAGGGCCCCAGGGTGGCGGGGTTTGGAGGGGCAGGGGCAGGAGCAGGATGAGCACCCAGCAGCCGGGCCGCACCCCGGTTCCCACCTTGGGCCACAGCACCCCGCACCTGGCGACCAGGGGGCTGCAGCCGGACTGGGGCCCAGCCCTGCGAACACTTCCAGCCGGCTTCCGGAGCCCAGACTGCACGGGGAGGTGGGAGGCGACACCAACAATGCACGCGAGCAGGGACAGAGAACCGGGAAAGTTGGGGCGTTCCGCGGGCCCAAGGCTCTTTTCGAGCTTCTCCCCGGCAGCCATTTAGCAGGAGCCCACTCCGGAGGCTTCGCGCAGGCCGGGGCCTGAAAGGCCCGCCTGTGGCCGAGGAGGCCGGCGAGCTCCCAGAAATCGGTGAGGAGGGGACGCCTCGCGCCGGGGCGGGCAGACCCGGAGGCCCGGATTGGCACCGGGCATCTGCACTCAACAGGGAGAGGGAGAAAGAAAGGAGGGACCCAGCCATCTGGCAGGCCCGGGGAGCGACATCCTGTTTATTACCGAGCGTTTTTAGCGGCAGGGTTCGCAGTGTTGTGAAAATAACGCCTTGTTCCCGCAGCCAGGCCCCGAGTCTGGGGCCGGCCTGCCCGCGCGCCACGCCGCCGGCCCGGACGCCCCGGGGGGCCTCGGGATCGGGAGGAGATCGCGGTCCCCGCCCGCGTCCGGTGTCCGGCTCCGGGCGACGCGCAGGGCGGCGGTGGGGGAGGGGCGGGGCAGGGCCGGCGGCGGAGGCGGAGGCGTCCTGGGCCCCGGGCCCCGCGCCCAAACCCCCCCGGAGCCGCTGCGCCCCGCCCGGGCCCGCGCTCCTCCTCGGCCTCCGCACCCCGACCCGACTCCCGCCCGACCGCGCGACAACAATGGCGAGCGCCGCCGGGGCCTCGGCGGACAAAGGTCGGCGCGGGGACAAAGCCGCCGCCGCCGCCGCCGCGCCCACCTGGTGTCCGGGTCCGCGCGCTCGGCCGCGATGGCGACGACGGCGGCCGGGGCGGCGATGGCGGCGGATGGCGCGGGCCCTGCT